AGTAATTTTTTGCATTTGTGCTGATTACAGTATACTTTGCCTACCTAGGTCTTGTTACGAATTTCATCATTCCATTTCCTAGTTCAGTGTAAAGTTTTTCAATTCGTTTCCCAAAGCCTGCCACCGAAAACCTCACGTTTGCAGCTAATCGTCCGTGTCTGTTCGAAGGAATCTCGAATTTCTCGAGTTACAATCTCGAAGGAAACCCGAGCTTGGCGAGTGGTTTAAAGCCAGTCACAGCCTCCGCGTATTTCTGGTCTTTGGAAAGAGCCATACGGCGGGGCCCCGACTTCGTCGTCGCTCTCGAAGCGTCACTTTCAAAGCGGCGATTCTCGTCGCTAAAATTCAATTACTCTCGTACTCTTTCATGGTTTGTGCCGTTACTACTCGGTGTCGCATTCGGGGGCCCCGAGAGAGTGACAGACAGGTGAAGTGAATCGTGACGTGAGTTGTTGCCGCTGTCTGTCCTCTTCGCTTCGAAATGTCACTCTTTCAACCGCTTTCATCAACTTTGCTGTCAGTTTTTATGCTCGAAAAATTGATGCAGCCGTTTGGCTACCTGGTTTCAGGTGGTGGAAAAGTAAACAGAGCGAAGTTTTCTGCACTTTCTACGCTGCAAAGATGACAGCGAACATCCGTGAGGAAATTTCCAGAGCTGGCTTCCTGTCATGTTCGAGTTGACTTAAGCTAAAGAAATTGCACTGATGACAAATGTTGCATCCAGGTCTTTTGTCTTCGGCGGCCGGAGCGGATAATCGGCTTTTTTCTCATCTATAGGCATTTATCACCGAATCATTTACATTCTCATGATTGAATGCTGTATACATAAGGTATTCAAAAAAGATTAATGAACACGTATGAACAGATTTTGTGCCCAAGCTTTTGTGGAGCTAGGCCATTCCTACAAAATATGAAAAATTTTATTCTGCTTAGGGTCTTTTCTCATGAATCCCTTTCCCTTGATCTGCAAAATAAGCTGTAAAGTTACGACCACATTAAGTTTCCAAGGAGTCCATCAACTCACAAAGGAACTGGAGTTTTTGGAGGCATAAGTTTAGCTTACTGACGATGATGAATACTCGTCAGTGATGATGAAAAGCTCGAAATACATTCATAATTCGTAAGGATCAAATTTTCTGTAACGTAGATTGGTCATATTCGTTTTTTGGAAAGTCTTCAGAAATTTTGAAAAATCCCGCCGTTAACACTGATTTTTAGGGGTTTCATTCTTCAGCTCCAAAGAGAAAGTCTTGCAATCTCTAAATGTGTTCGAAACATGAACAGAAAATTTAAAATGTAGATTGAGATTTTTAAGCATATCCAAGGCAAATTTTTGGTAGTTTCAGTTAAGAATTATGGATAGAGCCAATGCATACCCCAATATCCATGCAGAGACTCATCATGATCACAACTCCTATCAAAACCCCCTCTTCATTTTACTCCTGCAACCAACTCCATTTAGGTCCCTCTGAATATTCTGGAAGTATAGGTAATACTTGTTTATTATTCATGACAGCAAGAATTTTTTATTGTTTTGCTGGTATGCCAGGTTACCCACTTAGCTATCACCGAGAAAACATTTTCCGTTTTTTGGATAAAAGCTTAGCTCGCTTTTCTCGTGACCATTTCCTCCATCTTCGTTTTTTTTTTGCACGCCTTTCGATATAGAAGAGACGAATTCGAAACGCATATAGAAGAGATGAATGTGAAACGCGGATGCCCAAATAATGTGCAAGAGTAAATTTCGGGTAGAAAAAGACAAAAACTCTCTCATTACCACAGGTGATTCGAATCGGCTGATGCGCTGGAATTTTTTTCAAATCATATGTCTGATTAAGAAGCCACTGCGTCCCAAATTCTTCAGTATTTCGTTCCCGTCACCTGCGTCGTAGTTCCATGATGTGGCGGTTCGAATTCATTGCTGTCACAGCGCATTTCATCCTCGTTGAACACGCGTGCACCTTCACCTTCGATTACTTTTTACCCGTGTCCATCCTCGTCGTCGTACAGCAATGAAATTTTCTCTCAAAATGTTTTCCTGGTAGCTGCACTGCAAAACAACGCAAGTTTAATTCGTGTAATGGATGTTGATCCATTATTCTGTAGCTTTTCAACGAGTTTGACTCACAGACTAGGCTTTTATTCACCAAAATACTTCGTTTTTGTTGGGCAAAAAGAATCAGAATCTCATTTTGATCTTCCCATTTTATATAGCATGACTAGGTAAATGCATAATGTATTTCCACCTTTGCACTTCATCCTCAATCTTTCTTTCAGCCGGAGACCCATTAAGCCATGAACTTCTTGATACCATTGTTTGGAAAATTTTTGTTAACTCATTAAACATTGTGAAAGGTTCCATGCAAAGATTTATCGAAAGCTTACTCTCTAAGAGGTAAATAATTGACTCGTAACAATCTCAATATCTTGATTAGGAACCAAGCGTATAGTTTTGCGTCTTATTAGAATACGCTTTTCTGACTGTTTGAGCTAGAAGAGATCGCAGGCAAACCTTTTGGTGGAGGTGCGGAAAAACTGAAAGGCAGGCCATCTTTCGAGCAGTTCTGTATACGATCGAAAACTAAGCAGGGTTTCTTCTGTTTCTTTCTTAGAGCCGACTAATCATCTCTAATCGTCTCTGCGAAATCCTGCGCAGCCCCTGCTAATTTGGGCGTAGACGGGAATTTTTGTCAAACCATGATTTACCCATCGAAATTTCATGTGCAGGATTACTATACCAGTATTGTCTAGGAATGTGAGGCATAAAAATGTTTTTCAATCATGGATTGTGAATTCGCGATCAACTATTCAGATTATAAATCAGGGCTAAACTCGAGGTGGCTTTCCGAAAATGCAAAAAACGAGATCCCTTTTGACTTTTTCATTCACGAAGTTTTCTTTGATCCTAAACCATAAACGTAAAAACCCCAGAAAACGAAACGTCGACTAAGAAAAACGTCGTATTTTTCGGCCATAAAAACGGTATTCCCTTTGATTTTTGTTCCAAAACAATATCCAGCTTGCTTATAACCTGTACCGAATCCTATTATAAATTCAGGTTTTTAGTAGGCTCATATGCTCAAATGATGTGAACTCTGGGTAACCCCTTTTTTCTTAGTTGTGATATCCATCGTTAGTAACGTCGTGAGCCAGTGGCTGGAAATATACACGAACAATAAGCACCTCCAAATACTATCTGGAACCCATTGAGGTTTAGCTAATTTATTTAGCATTGTTTCTTCAATTACAAATAAGACAACATTTTGCAAATACCAACAAAACGATCTTTGATGGCAGATGTCTGCTGTCACATGTACCACTGAATCGCGCTAATTAGATGATTAGGCTACCATTTCCTGATCGTTTCGACTCTGGCAATACAGCAAAAAGACATTTCCCATATTTCGTTTTTTTTTTCGGTTTCACGAACAGGAAGCCTTTACTTTTTGTCTCCTTTTCCCTCTGGCTCTGGCTAAGGTATCGTATTTCAAATCCTCTGAAGATTTTTCTTTGTTGGATCGACTGTAGCGTAGTCATTGCTTTGCTCCTCTAGAGTACTTCAATGATTTTCTGATTTTGTCAACTAATCTGATTGAAATATCTAATTAGATTTTAGAGACTTTTAGCAATAAAAAGTTGCACTTTGTGAACTTTGCAAATGACAAAACAATCTGCTAATTAGATTATTGGATTATTTCGTCTCAGGCAACGTTGACTTCAAGCATTAGAACAAAGTTATACAAACAGAACGTTTGTTTAGTAGATTTTCGGGTTTTGAAATAACCCTTCAAGGTTTTTTAATCATATTCTCTTTTGGTGCCTTATCAACCAAAGGTATTAGTTACCATAAAAAGCGAATTGGTAAAGAATTCAAGGTTACGGTAAGTGCATGCTAAATGTGCACCATCAAAAAATAAATGGGAAAGAATGAATCATTAAGGAATCGAAGACATTGCGTGAGAACCATTGTGTAACGGAGAAAATCTTTGTGAAAATTTCGTAGGGAGGAAGAATTTTCGTAGGTTCAAATTGAACTATTTTGTACTTTGCGTTTTCATGTATATTGCGAACTAAAAAAAATTCAATGTGTGGCTTAAGCCACTCATTCCCGCAAAAGTATTTGGGACGCTCTAAAAAATTTTTGCGCGCTTATAACCTAGAGACTAGTGAACCAGTAATCTAAAGGTGCTACTTGGAAGAGCGTTCGCTTCGGGACCCGTTCTCGGTTTCCCGCTATTTGCAGATTTTTGAATTGCGCTTACGTTCCTTTATATATTAGATCTTGGGAAACAGAAAAATCTTACAAAGCCTCTATCTTTCTGAGAAGTTTTAAAAAAATTATTGCACTTTTTTACAAGTGAAATGAGCCACCTGCCCAATTTTATAACCCTTTAGGCTACTTTTATGGAAAAACGGTCACTCGGAACTCTGTTACAACTAATAAAATTTCGAATTTAGAGAAGCAGTAGCTGACAGTTTTTTGCAAAGTCGAGTGACATTTTACATCTCGAGTGAGTCAAGTCAGAAATGGTTTGCTAAGAAAAGAATACTTTTCGGGGTTTTCTCAGCTAAAAATGATATTTCTCAGGAACTAGAGCGTAATTGAGGCCAAAATTTTATGGTTAAGTTTCTAAGGTTTGTAGTACATAATGTCATATATAAGGGACCCCAACAGTAATGGATCGAGTTTGCCATTTTTGGTCCGCAGTTCTTTTTTGTTTTCTAAGCACGAAAAAATAGCAAAAGTACGTTGCATAAATGCATGTGTCTGTTTCGTGCATGACCAAGTGAGAAGTTCGTAGGATTACTGGGGCTAAAATTCAATTTTAAGCGTTTTGAGCTTATGTTTTGACTCGCAACTTTGACTTCTGCTAATGTTTGAAGGTCATCTTGTAGAGATTCCTTTGCGCCATCGAATGAAGATCCTCATACATTATTTGAGTTCGTCTTTATTGCTCTGCTATGAAAAATGTCATTCTTTTCTCCCCAACTTATAAGATTCAATACAGGACCATCGGTAACTGTAAGCAAATTCCTTGGAAGTAACCAGGGCAATTAACAAACGACTTGTTCATAATGGCAAGTCCATAATCTTCTACGTTTTGCGCCCCAACAAGACATGCCGTAGCATCCTGGAAGAGTTCAAGTAACCGAGTGCTTGAACCTACAAATCCCTTTGACATTTTTCCCGCGCAGCTCACACTAGCAAAGCGAAACGTCGCCGTTTAAGGTGAAGACGAGTTCGCTAATGCTTTCGTGGTCGCTGCTTTCAGCGCACTTCGCTGCGCTAATCCCCACGTGTTTCCAAGGGGCTAGCGAGAGCAGTGGCGCTGTTCGCTTCTTAAGTGAGAGCTCGTCGTCGATGTCGATGTCGATGTCGTGTGCATCGATCGGTAAACATCGCCGAATTTACGTTGTGCTTTGATAATTGCTCTTGAGCACAGGAAGAGTGCACATGCCGGGCCTACTCGACGCCGTTGTCCCTTGTCCCCTTACTCGCCCCGTTCTTCCACAATTTGCAACTTCGTAGTAGTCGTCCGCATCTACTGCACTCTTTTGGAATCAATAGGCTTCTGTGGCAGCTCTCCAGCCCCACCTTCCGCTATTGTCTCCATGCCGGTTCGCACCTAATCAAATCTATGAACATTGTGCCGCCGGCTGCATGCCGGCTGCAACGTTCGAGTGTTTCCCATGAGTACTTCTCTCCAAGCGAGTCTAATTCCTGCGCCGTTATAACTCTCTTTTCTTTTTGGTGTACCATAAAATTCGACTTTGGCTTCCTATATTCATTCTACCAAAGTGAATACACGATCAAATCGGTACTTCCTGCAGAAATTAGAGATTTCAGCCTATCAGCCCGATATTTATTCCTGAACTTCTTGCTGTAGGTACAATGTTTGCTCATTTTCGGACAGGTCCTGCGTTTGTTTTTGCAGATAATCGTGCTTTAGCAGATTTTTAACTACCTGTAAACCAGTAGCCCCGGGATTTCCGTTCTTGGGGAGGGAGAGTAGAGAGGGGGGGATTAGAAAATTTTTCGAATAGAGGTACGGGGCGTTACTCACGCACTCCAAATTTTTTGAGACGCTTACCGAATTTTCACCGGTTCATAATTCAGAAGAAGAACTCGCAAAGCTAATTTGATTTTCGAAAAATTTCGAAAAATATTCCGATTATGTACAAATGTAACAAGTCTTTTGCACATTTTTATAACTCATTTAAATAACTCTCAAAAAATTTAGCTATTTATTCTCGGGGCGGGGAGGGGGGGGCCTCCGCCCGTTTCCCCCCTCCCCCCCTCGTTCCTTCACTGCTACACAGAATTATGTCTCCGAAGCAAATCAAATATTGTAATTTGAGAAAATTATGCAATTCATAAAGCAAGTATTGATGAGCAAGAACGATTTTTTTATAATTCTTGAAGAAAGCAAAAATTTTTATTGTCGCAATATCTTATGCATAACAACCCTGCAAAATGGCTTGTAGTATCCTAAGCTGAACACTTATTTATCAGAAGGAATTTCAAAGCTACTACCTACCTTCAATGATCTTTGATAAAAGCAGCGCTCTCTCTCTCTCCTTCACTTTTTCTTCCCTCCTTTTCCTCTTTCAGGCGGAACTCGTAATGAAGCGAAACTGATGATTGCAAAATACAATTACCCCATGGATTTTGAGCACTTTTTTAAAGTTCTTTTTGATTGAGTCGTTTTGCTCCCCGGGATAGATCAAATTTCACTTGATATAAAAACCAGTGTACACCTTGAAAGAGCAAATAATTTCAGCCGCCAGACCTTAGTTTCTTGGCCAAGATTTTCTACTTCGGTCATCTAATCCCATCAAATTTACCACCATCAGGCTCAGAGGCTCAGCCCATATCGCCACGTCAAGAGCGATTATCTGACTAATGATATCCTGCGCAATACAATTTGCTTATAAATTCTCGCAAACATTATTGCATTACATGCATTTATTTTTTGCACAAAGATTTTTCAAGTCGAACCCGACTATCAAGGAATTTTTAGAAATTTCGCAGTTGTGCCCAAATGGTCCTTTTGGAGAATCCACATATATAAGCTATTTATCTTTGCAAAACTTTTTTTACCTAAGAACCTCTATACTTTTTGTACGAAGGTAAATGTTTATCAAAGAGTTAGGGTAAACAAATGTTGCGCAGCGCTGGGATCAGAAGATAGAATAAGTGAAAAAGTAGGGGCATGCAGCACGTGCTGGACTCTTTAGTTTATAGTTTTTTCACCCGTATGGTTATATAAGTTTACTTCCAAGAACCACGTTATATAAGTTTACTTCCAAGAACCACAAGTCCTCAAGGCTTTTGCCATTCCGGCTGTGCAAATATTCTAGTGCGTATGTCCTAATAATCCACCATAACGACTCGAATCACGACACATTAGATTGCCCCAGGGACGGCGGCTCAGCGGCCGCTCGGCGCTGAGCTTTCATTTTTTCACCCGGCGCGCTACGTCGTCACCGCCGAGACAAAGTGCCGAAGACCACGATGAATGGCTTTAAAGGCCACTTACTCCAGCCAACTTCAACTTCAGCCTAAGTGCATCCACAGCACGAAATCCGTTCGTGAGAGCCGTACGACGATGACGACGTCGAGCCGGTTGCTGTCTGCGTTCTCTCATCGATCTCGTGCTCGTCAACTTGCGCTCATTCAGCGCTCTCGTCACCTTCGCGTTCATTTCGAGCCCCTTTGGTCGTCATCGGATGATACTCAACGTGCGCGAGAATCATAATCACTTATTTGGTGGCTTCAGCGCCGAGCCACTTAATCATTTTTTGCAGCTGCCGCAGGTTTTTAGGGTCCCTTCGCTAATTTCCAGAGATTATGCAGATTGATTAGATCATTAGCTTTTACTAAAAGAATGCCTGTACGTGCTAATTTGCTTGCAAAACATGCTATTTTCTATTTTTTGAATACTCACACGTTATGAGAATTTCACATTGAGCATATTTTGCAAGATAAAACGTATATTTTTGTAATTTACGGTACAAATTTTTCGGATGTTTGCTGATGATGTAAAAAGCAGAAACGGAAATGTTTTATCTGCTATTTTTTCTTTCAAATTGTGCTTATAATTCCTTCGGAGTTTGTTTGCAACAGATTGAATGCTACTGTATTTATCAGACTAAAGGTTACATATAGTGAAATTTCAGATTCGGTATGAGAATAATACTACTTGGAATAGCGTGGAATTTATTATTACCTGTCCATATTTACCGCTGATATTTTGATGATTACTGTAATAGTATAGAAATTAATAAAGGTTCTAATGGATCGAAAGTGAAAGAAATTATACGATGTTTTTGGAAAAAGATCTTATGTTTTTGAATTTGACACATCTCCAGTAAAAATCCACCAAACTCAGATTTCTTTGAATAAAACGACGCAAATTGACATTTCTGCTAAATTGTAAATGCTGTAAATCAATCTTCTTTATTTAGAATTAGTTTACATATGAAGCAAGTAAATAATGGACACTAGAAAAACAACTCAAGCTAAATATTCCAAATTAGGGGTCACTTTCATTGAAAATGCCAAAATTTTTAGATAAGATGAAGTGAATCTATCTTGCCTGCTAGAAAATCTATAATCGGTGAATGTTCTCAATAAAACAAATCGTTGCTTGAATATCCTGAGGTAGAGTTAAAGCTACAATGACTAATGAAATTCTGACTTTTATAGAAAGATGCAGTGGGTTATTGCATAATTGTCAACAGTTGTCAGTGTCTATTTTGTTTCCTCCTTTCGAGAGATTTTAACAGATCTCACTCGACTATAGTGAAGCATTCATTGAACATTGGCTCCACTTTCCACCAGCCACCAATAAAGCCGGAGATCTCGTCCTTTGATTTTCACCTTCTTACCGCCTCTCATACGACTCTATTCAAAAAGTACAACCACTCGATTCCCCGCTTCCTGGAGCTTGCACTTCTCCCCACCTCAATTACGTACTCACTGCTGCAAGATAAATTTTTTTGCTGAGTAATCACATAGCGGAAATTTGGATATCGCAGATTTGCAGACCCCCTCCACTCATAAACTGTGCAAACATTCGGCTGTCCATTGTTTGAGCAATTCGAGTACGAGATGACGGAACATCGTAGACGGGAAAACGTGTGATATTCTCGTGGTCATTTCGAGCTTAAGGGGCAGGAGATTTCTACCTCTAGGGGATACGTGACTCTTGGTCCAAACCGAGCTTCGAAACTCTCGCTTGTTTTTTTTTGAGGCGATATTAAAGGACGTAATTTGAGCTATATCTCTTTGACCTTACTCCTGCACACCACAGCATTTTATGACTTTCCAAACTTTTTCTTTCTATACCAACTGCCCCTAACCTGATTTAGAAAGATTTTTTTTCGACTGATTTCTTGGTAATGAGTAAGAATAACAGACTCATATTTTTATCAATACTGCTTGGTATGTAGCATTTTTACAAATCAATCCCATTCACATGGATAGTTTCCCAACATATCTTCCCATGTCCTAATGCATTCTCACCAAGCTGTTTATTCCATCAAGTAGAACCTCCACTAAAAGTATATCCAAAGAATACTTTTATCCATCACTGCTACTAACAAACTGTGGTTTATAGAGTTAGTGCCTACCAGAGCTCTTGAGCTTGAAGTTTACACTGTAATAAAATCCGAACATCATAAAAATCTGTATTGGTGTTGCTGTTTTTCCCTGCAAAAATTTGAACTGCCTGTCTTTGCAAACGATCTACAATGGATGGATATTGCATTGTACATCGCATTCCGGTTAGAATTCCTTTGAAATTGACGTAACGGTATTGGCATACTTACCGTTTTTGTTGTAAGACCTATTTTAAGAGTATTTGTACCTACATATAGAAATTCTCTGAAATCGATGTGCAACTTCCGTAGTTTCGTTTACCGCCAGAAATCTCCATAAAAAGTGATTTTTCAAAAGAAGATCTTACTCTTGTAGTATGTGCACTTACTGACTTACCTCAGATTTCAATATCCTACACAAATTATAATTTCTTTTCTTATATTGAACATCATATACACCAAAAATTGTCTATAGTTTCTTAATTCAAAAATCGCTCAATATAAATTTGAAAATAAGAAACAGCGTACATTTAGCAAAAACCATTAACAATCTCTTCCGTGATTTCCTTATTCCTTTTCCACTCTTGACCTAGTGTACCACCCATCCAAATGGTACTTGACTGGTTCTGGCTTCTCCCAAAATTAATTTGCCCGTCCACTGATCTCATTTGACGTGCTTATCCATTACATGCGTCCAAAGGCAAGAGCTGTTTTTCCTCATCATATTAGTCCGGAGCTGGCCTAGTAGTCCACCATCTCTTCATAGTCGGGAGCCGGCTATGCATAATCAGTACCTCAGGCTAGAAATCAGTGATAGGCTAGGCCAGATTTGATATATGGGTTGCCGTCACTGTCATTGTACGGGTATCTGCAAATAACTCCGGACGCATCTGTTTTGAATCGTTTTTGATCTTTTCTCTCTTCATTATTTCATTCGGTAACCTTTGCACATTTGAATCTCCCAAATAATTAGCAATTTCCTGAACACTAGCAGAAACCGCACGATTTTCTGTCTATTTTCATATTCTATAAAGATTTGTTGATTTTGGAGGAACCTATGGTGCGAGACTTACGTCCCAACCTAAAATGTACCCACTGCTTGATTGTGAATGACACCTTGAGACTACTTGCTAATTTCTTTTATTTGATTTTTTGATAGTCCGCCCGGACTCTTGAGCGGTTTAGCATCGTATTGTTGCCTGTTTGAGCCTTAGAAATTCTTAACAACAAACCGTCCTGAAGATTTTGTCATTTTCTTAAAAAGTCTGGGATAAAAAAAGAAAAGAAATAGCATGCATTCGACACAGCTTTTTCCTTTTTTAAGATCATGCTTCTGAAAATGCTTCCACATAAATTGATGTCAATAATTCATCAAAAGTCAAGATGTCATCAGAATTCTTCACTTTCTATAGCTTGAAATTCCACCAAATTTGAAATTGTTTATCCTAGAACTGAAGGTGAATATCGAACGGGTGAAGCAAAACTTGTACTTTAGGCTTTCTTTACACTCATTCGATTTGCTGTTTTGAAATTTAGATGACTTATTTGGAGATCTCGATATTCGTAAAATCGTGGATCACTCCACTGCAGCAAGTACACGAAAACTTCGGAGTTTAATCAAAGCCCTCGTTTTTATTTGGTACTCCGCAGATTAGTCAAGTTTGGTTTGCTACGATCCCACGCTACAAGTGCCGAAAATTACCTCGATACTTGATTAGATTAAGAAGAAACAAAAGAGTTGTCGTTACAGAAAGCTATTAGCGCTTTTTCAAAATGCTAGAATAAGAAGTTTGAAAAATGAATCCTGGCATCTCTCTGGGGTGCTCGAATCCTGGGAATACCATTGCAAAAGGGCTCGACGGTGGCTTTTAACAAAAAGCAAAGGGAGTATCGTTTTTGAGGCCGAAAAGATACAAAAATTGCGAAGTTTTTTTGGTGGACGTTTCGTTTTTTGAGGTTTTTACGTTTAGGGTTTAGGGTCAAAAGGGACTTCGTAATTGGCGAAAATCAAGGGGGACCTCGTTCTTTGCATTTTTCAAAGCCACCTCGTACCGAGAGCCCTGATTGCAAAGACTATTGATGATGAGATGAAGCGTACTATCTAAAAGGCAGTGGCGTACCGAGGGGGGGGGGGCGGGGGGGGGGGGCGCCCCCCCCCCCCGAGAATGGGTCGCGAAATTTTTGAAAGTTACTTACATGAGTTATAAAAATGTGCAAAAGACTTGTTTATACTTGTAAGTAATTAAAATGATTTTTAAAAATTTTTAAAAATTCAATTTAGCCTTATAAAAAAAATTTTTTCGGGGGCGTGGCTGATGCCACGCCCCCTTTTTCTGAAATTTCGGGGTCCTGAGCCCCCGAAAATTTCAGGAAGCATACCAAAAAAATTTTCGGAGTGCGTGGCTGACGCCACGCACCTTCACCGAAAAAAATTTTTGTCGCGCCCCCCCCCCCCCCGAGCCGAAATCCTGGGTACGCCACTGCTAAAAGGTGAAGGCATCTTGGATTGAAAAGACCTTATCGCTCATGGGTCATTATTCTTTATTTTCTTACCGACTACTTTCTATCCCGCTTTTTCCTATCTCCCATTTTTTCACTTGCAAAAGGGCTCTCTGCTTGCCTATCTCTTTTTGCTGCATAGTCATTTTCCAGTTGATTATGTTCCAAATTTGTTTGTCTCGTTCAGCCATCCGCTGTCGCTTCCTCCTGCTTATGTCATATAGTCTTTTCTCTATGAATAACCACATACCAACACTTTCAGAGCATTTATACGATGTCGTTCTAAAGGCAGTTATTAAGCTGCAATGGCTCCGACGCCGGATGATGATCTTTTTATTGAGCCAGCCAGCGACGAGGATGTCGTCTACGGGGATTACAATTCCACGTAAGTGGTCCTTTTTGAACATAAATATAGGTGGCGCTTCCGCTGCAGGGGAACAATTTGCATAATCGCACTTTTTGTTAGTTCAATCCAAGGCATCATTGATGAGTTGGCATTTGTCCAATAAGTAGCGAGTCTCATCGAATATGGATGTCATTTTTCTTGAACTTCATGCCTTTCATTCTAGTCATTCGTCCTTCATCAATCATTCTGATTTTTGACTTTCTACTTATCTTATTCATTCCATATTTGACAAATATAGCTCTCTTATAAATTACCAAATATTGAGTCGGAACATGTTGTTCTGGAAAATAATCTTACATTTCTAGAAAAAAAATTTCTTGAAAATTGTCGTAGCTTCACAGTGTATTCATGTCGTATATGAAAAATTCAACTATTGAACCTAAGAGTAGTTTTTAAATTCTTTTGGCAAACTCCTGACTTGCGAGATTGAAAACTATAAACTTTCGAACTGTAAGAATTTGCTGACTTTGTTCAAGTTTTCCCTAAAAGGACGAAAAGTGTATGAATTATGTCCCAAACAATATTTTTTACAGCTTTCTATCACTAGAATGTCCCAAAAAATATTTTTTCACAGCTTTCTATCATTAGAAACTGCTCAAACTATTCTTGCACCACTTTTATATAGTCATTAGCCTGGTTTAATAAAATTACTAGAGGAAAAAGCCATACCGGTGAAGAATCTCGAGTGCATTTCTTTTCCAGCTTACAGTAAGATCACTAACTCTCTAATCTCTGTTTTTCTTGCGCTATCCTCTAATGTCCATCGCTTTGTTTATTTTTTTGCAAACCTCGTGCATAGAAGGGATGCGTGCCCTATGTAAATTGTTTACACTTGGACATTTGCTCTTTTTCTGAGAAAGGCTGCATAAGGATGATGCTCCTTTGGGAGCTTTCTTGATGTCGAATTTTGATTTGAAGGGAAATGTCTAACAGCGTTTTATGGATTTTCTGCTGGAGGAGAAAACTGATTCTGCTTGCAAAAGCATAGTGATGTGTTTTGCAGTTTTTAGCTTTGATTCGCTTTCATAATGCGGCATTCCAGTTTGTCTAGCGTTAGCTAACATTCAAATTTTCACATTATTGAAAGTTTAAAATCAAAATCTAGAAGCACTTGACGAGCTTAAATAGGAATATTTGTCCCAAAAGTCCACGACCTTCCATCTTTTTCAAACATTAGACGCATACGACCATTCATCAGGCTTGCTGTTTTTATCGTTGTCATCATAAATTCAAGAAAAAATGAATCTGAAAATGGCAAACTCTACCGCAGTGTTTTGTTACACTTTTATTTTTATGTTTACTTACACTCAGGGCGCGCCAAAAAACGTACGCAAGCAAACGAGCAAAACCCTCAAGTAGGTACTAAAGTGTATTATCTCCCATGCAGTTATTCACTGCAGATTTTCCTCATTTGATCAAGGGGAATTTCCGCCTTGCTTTCTTTTCAAGAAATACCATATCTAGCCTGAAGAGCTTAAAAAAGCAATCTTGTTTTTATGAAAATCATATGAGGAATGATTTTTTCAAGCCATAGTATAGTCAGACTAGTTTTAATTTAATTTTAATTTTTTTAACTCCTAATTTTAAGCCAGCCGATTTACTACTAGTTCATCTGTGTCTCACATGTCTCGCACTGAAACACAAAACGGTCGTGAAATATTTGAATGCGTCAGAACAAATCTCACTTTAAAACAGTCTGCTTATTTGATTTCAAGATTCTGGAAATAAAGGACAGTAAAAATTTGCGATATCCTAAGTGTGTACGAAAACCTGCTAGGGCTCGCGTCAGTTATATAGTCAGGTCTCACTAAAATACCGTCATTCTAATAATAAAGCAAAAAATCTTGCGAAAGCATACATTCCAAAGGTCTTCAGCGAAAGGTTCCTCTATCATCATTGTTGTCTGCAACGCGCCCGACGCCTTACTTTGATTTATGTGACAGAGCGCGGTGTTCCGATCGCAATAACTCAACTCCCATGTCGCTTTTTACCGCTTAATCTTGAGCAGTGAAAGCTGGGCGTTGCACTTTTGATTATGTTTTTCTAGTGTCATCAAAAATCTGGTTTGTTCTCAGAACTTCTGCGAACTCACTATGCCGCTTCTTCCCGGAAGTGAGTGGCTGCAATAGGACATCCTAAATGGACCCAAATCGACATCGGGCCCATTCGGCTGATGTTCGTCCTCATCCGGGCTAAGTAGCGACTAGTTCGACCCTGCGATTCATGTTCTGTTCCGAGCACACTCCAACCGTAGAGCGCTATTTCGTTGACCTCGCCCTCTGACCTTTGTGTCCGTCGTCACTTATGGCTGGCCAATCGGCAGACACTTTGCCACATTATTATTTTACGATCTCGTAGTTCTCGTTCGATCATCGACATCAGCAAAGTCGAGGAAAAACCTCAGCTTGACTTTTGGGAAACCTCCAGGTTCGTGGTGGTGTGTTTATTTACCCAAGCCCGTGGGATTTGTTTACCTTTGCGACCAGCTTCTATCGATTATGCATATTAGAGTTGTTGGGGCTTATGGTCATCCCCTTACTTGAATTATTGATTTATTGATTAGAGATTCAATAGGCATACTGCTTCAGCAAATAGATATCCTTCATTTTATCAAATCAAAGTAAATAAAAATTCAAATGCCTTATTTATTCCAATTGGACAAAATTCCAAAATCCATGAAATGGCTCATCGACTAAAGCTTCATTAAATTTCTGAAAAAATATCGCAAATTTTTTCATATCGATAGATTTTGTAAAGTAAATACATCTCCTTCGTTTCATCTGGATAAAGGCGAATGTTCTACATCTTTCAATTATTCTCATTTTTCTGAAACTATTTATCAAAAATTGTCTTCTGAAGCTTTTTCTCAAAAAATTATTCAAAAAATATTCTCGCGATCTTCGTCTGTATCGCTAATATCTTTTCTGGCGTGAAAATTCGTTCGAGTTCTCAGCACTCAACTTTTTTTGAGTTGAAAAGTTTCTACTGCTGTGCTATTTTCGGAAATTTTTGAAAAATCGTATTAACTCCACATATTTGTTCCTCTTGACCCGATTACGCAACTACGATTTTATGAAGAAACTCCAGTCTGCAACCTAAATGTGGCTTTTTACCCAGAGCATGCTGCTTGACCTTATTCCACTTGCAATGCAAAAGAGGTGTAGGAGTGGAGTGCGTTCCATGCAAATCTCCGTACCGCAAAACATCTGGCTGAAATGTGACATTTCGCCGCATTTCCATGCTCTTCGTCTGTTCGTGGCGCGTTTGCAAGTTTCAAATTTTTCGAAGGCATCACATTCGCGGAAATTTCACAGATCTAGCTTTTTCGAATCTTCTCTGAGTATCAGACTAGCGGAGCAGTTTTCTGAACAAAGTAGCTCCAATTTCTGGAGTGAATTTCGCTCCCCGTTCAAATCTCTCACTTTGCAAAATGAAAGATTTGCAACTGCTACGATCTCACTCATCGCAATTTTCTCTGAAAAACTTTGCAAAAACTCAATAAGAAAGCTTACCGACGTCGCTCAGCTCAGTGTGATGATTGATGGATTGTTTGCTTTGTTACATCGTTGCGTAGTGAATGAACACTGGTTGTTCAAGATCAATTGCTTACTCATACCATCTTCTTCGTCTTGAAAAAAGTAGATCCTGATACACTTCCGTTTCAAAAATATTTCGAAGATAAGTCTGTAGAAAAATCATTAGAAAAAGTTCGGTATTGTAATAGTTTGAAGCTTTCCGGAAAAATTACCTTAGAAAATTTATTGCAAAGAGTTAGCCACTTGTACTGCGGCTCTGAGACCCTGAAATTCTGATCTCTTGAATCTTTGTTTCATCGAAACTGTCTCATATAGAATAAGAGACAATTTAGTCTTGTATCGTCGTAATTACCACGGAGAAAGCTCTGGAATTTTTTTCTTTTGAGAATAAATAACTGTTATTTTTGGTTATAGGAAAAAAGAAAAAACCATCAATGATGCATATATTCGAGCTCTTTAGTGCTTTGCTCTTAAATACAAATTTCTGCACGGTTATAAAGTATCATGTCTTTTTATGCCAACCTACGTCGTTCTTGCTCGTCGTCGTTCACCGTACATTTGGACACCAGCTTTCACGACCTTTTGGCTGCAAAAATCAAATCGAGGATCATTTGTCCTTTGCTACGAATTTCGTAAAACTAAAAAAGCTGACTAATGCTCCGATTTGGCTGACGAATCCGTGCTATCGCACGGCTCATCCTTGTGCGTGTTTGTCCATCGTGGACAGACTCACCAATAACAATTATCCACTCGTGTCACACAGCTCTCCATTTCCTGCACTTTTGCTGGAGTTTTCTGCACGAAAGCCCGTAAATTCACTGAATTTACTAATCTTAATTAGATCGCTTTCCAAACGCAGCGATAGCATCTTTCACTCGTTTTTGCTCGTCGACAGCGAAATTCGCCGAAGGTTGCGCTCATTGTCTGTTTTCAGTATACATATGCTCGTGATTCCAGTATTCCAACATTCATTAGAACTTTACCATGATTTCTTTTGCAATATTTGAGCCTCGAAATAAGGAGCAATAGTTTGGATTTTGGCTGTTCGTCCCATATTGCCCATTAGATTCAGATGAAAGTTCGAAAAAGATGTTACTTGTTTGTTTTTAAACAGTAAGTAAACCTCTTACGACCTTGCGACCTTTTTCTGCCATTTTTGCTTTCCTTCAGAATCTCAGCTTTTCTAGAAAGTTTTCGAAATATCTTTGAATTGCCAAACATAAAGATGCATTAATGTTTTCCAGTCAGATTACATGTCATTCAGTTTTTTATAACACAGCTGAAGTGAACAAAGAAAAATCCCTTTAACTGATAGTGGGTGTTTATTGCAGCATCACGCAAGTTTTCTCTAACCATTGCCATTCGACTGGCAAAAAAATGCACGATTATTTTTGAACGAACTTGGTGTACGTAAAAGTCTGAGTCTGATATGACCTGGCCTGGCTTTTCGAAGGGATCGTAGTTCGAGGAAAAATTTTTTATAATTAAAGTTGTAAGGGTCAATAAAGTAGAATAAATGACGTAAAAATTTGTCAAAGTATTATAATTTGTGAAATTAGTTCAAAACGCTATTAACCTATGTGGAATTTTGGGCAAACTCGAATGAAAAAACAAGCCTGAGAAAATGAAGGAATAATTCTTCTTTCATTTTGATTGCATTATTGAAGAGATTTTTCATTGCCCAATATAACTTTGGTGTCCGAGTTATGTTTTATGGTGGTGCTAATTATTGAGTTACGGCTTACCCTTTTGATAATAATAACAACAAGATATAATATTGAATTATATAACAATCCACCCTAGAAAATTTTCAGGAGTAAGTAATCATTATCAAACTCATATTTTTTGGTCGGTTGTGCTCACAAGTTACAGCATTCCTCCTTTCCACCTGCAAGTACCTCATTACGACCATGAAACTTTTTCTGAAGGTCAGATTATGTCAACTTCGGTTCATCACCGCCAGCAACTAGTGTTCTCGGCGCTCCCACCACCCGGGGCGCACCTGCTGATAGTCAGTTGCTTCGAATCGCCATCAATCCTGGCGGCTCTTGCTACAATCTTTATTGACCGCTATTAATTTTCTTCCGTCGTCATTGCATGCTTGGAGAAATCCATAATTCGAGGGGGGGGGGGAAGAGGGCGAGGAGGCTGGCGACACCTTATTGAATTACTGACTCATATGCCATAATTCGGGTGTTTTGCTTCGGCCATCTGCCGGCTTAGCGAAGCGCCGGGTCTCGTAATCTGCGGGTCAAGAGCCTATCAAATGCGACTAAAGGGGATGATTTGGGCAATTGTTAGCGCCTGACGTGCTTTGTGCCCTTGCGAAATTCTTAGCTTCAACAACTGGAGCAGGGCTCGGCACGAGGTGGCTAGATGAAAATGGAAAAAACGAAGTCCCCTTTGACCCTGAACCAAATTTCTTCTAAAAACCTGAAAAATTCCCGAAAATCCCCCAAAAAACGAAACGTCGACTAAAAAAAAAGGTCGCCGTCGTCAATTTTCCGTATGTCTTCACTCACAAAAACGAAACCCCCTTTGCTTTTCATCCCAAAAACGATATCCAGCTTGCTTGTAAGCCACCTGTGCCGCTGGTATGAACTGGAGCCCACCTCTGCCTAGGAGGGACACACCTAAACCGCCCTGAAATGCGAATTGGCTTTTCGCCCGCGGGAGGCCCGCAGCTAAGAGGATCCATAGCGCTTTAATCAAGCGCTCGCAGATGATGTGGTAGAGCCGCATTGGAGATGGCCATCCATCCTTCGCTTGTCACATTTACTCCTGCGTGCCAATTGTTCTGACATATGCACTCCAATATATCCCGAAACACCAGCCAATTCCGATTCGCGCCCAATTTCTCACCCATTAATGTTTTTCGCACCGATCAACAGCTTCCTCTATCGCTCTTCTCGATGACAAATCATTTCCGAACAGCAGCTTTTATTTACGACCATTCGGTTTTCCGACGTGCATGAGTTGTGCGCACTAGAGAGAGTCAATGCTTTAGCGTTAGCTTTTCAGTTTGATGGAGTGCTTCAGTGCAAACACTTCAACTTTGGTCATATACACTTTTAGAGCAAGGATATTTGAGTTTACTAAAAAGATTGCTTTTACCGGTCTTTAGCAGCTGTAATCAGTTTTTTTACATCCCAATATGGAGACCAGAATCCTTTAGTATCGTGAATGAAAGTTGAACAGCTGTTCTTCAACGATAGAGAAAGGGTAAAATCTTTGGAATTCGGTTTATGTCCCCTTCATCGTTTTTCTTTTGTGCTTTCGTTCTTACCGAAGTTCTTAGAATAGCTATTAATCACGTAACACACAATCACTTACTTGTCCTAACACCGTTTTTACTTGTTTTTTTTAAATCATTTCCTTAAGGCTCCGCTAGAATTATTTTCTGGTTCAACGCAACATCTTATTTTCTCCAAGAAACTTCTTGCCTTGAAACCTCGACTAGTCAAAATGAACTAATCTTTTTTTATGTGTTCCGGCAATAGACACTAGTGGAAAATATCGTCTGCCCATTTTTGGCTAATAATCTCATTTAATTTATGGAAATTTTGGTTGTTTGCCGTTCTGATTGGCAGAATTTCTTCCGTCATCAGTTTGTTAAAAACTATGAATATTTTAGCTTATCCTTTTAGTTGTTAGTGCCACCCATGTATTAGAGCTCTTTTGAGCAACAGTGTCGATAAAAATACGTCCTTATTTGTTTATTTACTTCGTTTTCTTTCCTCCGTCTTCATGTCATTGCTCGTCCCCGTATCGTCGTATCATGCTGTTTCTCCTGACTTTTCTGACACAGCAATGTGCGTATAATAAAATATGTTTTGTAAAATAATATGAGTTTGCGATGCTTTCATCAACATTGTGTACAAAGCGAAATCGGTACTGATTTTGTGAGAGGCGATTTTTGCACCTTTTATCAAAATTGCTCACACATAATTTTTTTTCGAACATATTTATTCTCCTCAAAAAATTTCGAACAAATTTGCTTGAAGTATTTATTTGTTAGATACGATATATGCCTTTGCTTTTCTTGAATAGATTTTTGTATAGTGATAAATAAGAGAAAAAAGTAAACCTTATTTGTATGGACTGAGTTACGTAGAAGTCAGTGCTGAGTGTGATAGCAGCTTCTCACGGTCTATAACCCAAGGCTCACCAATGTTGCCAATTGGTCCATGAGGGCATTTTGGAGGCATGTGGTTGTGCGAGTCTGGGAACCTCTCCCGCGACCTCAATGTCTACCCTAATTTGCACGCTGCTCGAGTAATCCTAGGGAATTAGTTCGACCACCGTGGTTTGCGAGTGTGAGGAGAAAAACTTGTTGAATGATGGGTTGTAATGTACATAGTGGTCGCTACTACTAGGTCATCCACTAATGGCTCCTCATTGTTCCAATTCCGAGCTTTTTTCCTTTTGAAGCGTTTCATCCTCACATCATTCCCGTCTGTCGTACGAGCATCCATTTTCAGGATGGATGGGGCGTCTTCCTCTGGCCCAAGACCGTATATCCGTCTCACTTCGCAGCTGAAAAACGCAACACGGCCATCCGGAGGAGAAGTTCGATTTCGATGTGAAGCCATTGGAACGCCTCCCCTTTCATTCACGTAAGCATATTTTTATTCCCTGATGCAAAGTAACAAAAATTACACTTTACAGCTTGATGCGTGCATTTTGCTCCGCAACTATACAGATGATAGATTGCCCCATTTTTTATCGAGTTCAAATTTTTTAGATTACATTCTTACTCTCGATCCGTTTAGAGTTGTGATGCTTTTAATGACTTCTTTTCGCTTTTAGAGTCACATTTTTCTCACTCAGCACTAACTTTGCGCTCAAAAATAAAACAGTGAATTAAAGATGCTTCTAGAACAAGTTGTTATGTAGCAACAGTGCCTCTCAAAACATGAACTACACTTAGATAGCTATAGTTTATAGTTATAGGTTTTAAAATGCCCATAGCTTTTACAGTTCACCTTCTATCGAAAGTACTCGTGAATTTTTATGAAATACGTAGCTAAATAGCTTTGAAAGATTCAGATTTTGAACAGATTTCTATCAAGTGCATCTCATACATTTCCTGAAGTGAAGCTTCTTTTAACAGCGCTTTCCTTCGTTATAGAGGTCCTTTGCGATTGCCCGAATAATTCCATTTTATCGAATGAAAGAAGACATGCGGTTGTTATGAAAGAGATTAGAAACATGAAAATATTTTCGTTTAACTGATAGTTTCCCTGCTGTATATCAGATGACCAAAAACAAAGAAATACAAAGTATCAAATTTTTTAGATGGCTGAAAAATCACGCGCCAATCGAAAAATCTCGCCGAGTGAAGGTACGGAATCGTGAGAACTCATCTCGTTTGGTCATCACCGAGTTGGATGTGCTTGATTCTGGTTACTACCAATGTATTGCGTCAAATTCAGCTGCCTCTGTCAACACTACCAGTATTCTTCGGGTTAGTTGCTTTTTCTTTCGTTTTAATTTTTTGGAGAAAGTTCAATGAGCGCAACTTTCTATTCTCTCAGATCTTCAGTCGTAACTATGCTTCTGCCATTGCGCTTTCGCAATTTGCCTTCCTCCATCAAGAGAATGACTCATCTGCTACCTCATTATCCGTTTCCTTTCGGAGCCTCCGAATGCTTTTCATTCACTTTGCCCTCCCCACGCATTCGATTTGTGCGGCGACTGGTCAGTATTGACCCCCCGTACGAAACGCGTATACTAGCCTAAACTACCGTAGTCCTCTCAAAAAACTGCAAAATTTCATCCACCCCGAGTGGGTAAGCGTTGCGGTTAACCACGGTAAGATGAGACAACGTTTCAGCCACGGAAAATGACCGGCAGGCAAAGCGACAAAGGTGATTTATCATAGTTGGCGCGCACGCCGTGCGTCGGTCGGTCCGACCCCCGCCCTCGGTCCCACAGATCAACAGATAGGCCACTCTCGCTCTCAGCAATACATGTGTGCTATGCATTTCTTATGAACGTTATCTACGGCCTTTTCCCAAGTTCCGAGACCTTTAGTCGACTCTTTTGCGCAGAATGAGCCATTCTGTGGTTGTTTAACGGTCTTTTAGCGCGGTTGGTGGCTCTTCTCTTGCTTTGAGCAACTTCTATCCTGCGCTGTTTTTTTCGTTCCAGGATAAATAAGCAATTTATTTTTATCGATGGAATTTTGCACCAGGCTGTTATCTGCAATAATATCTCAAGAAACATGCTCAGCACTTCTTTTCTATTTATATCTCAGAATCTTTCTTTGCACACCATCAGCATTGTTTTTGCCCTGGAATTTTTGATCAGCACGTCCTTAAAAATGAATACTGATTATGTCTTGAAAGCGTACGCTTACAAATAATAATGGAAGCTCCACTTTGTCAAATGAATTCTTTCGTCCTTTAATGTAATGAAGATGATTAGATTACGTGTTTATGTTACTTCGTACTTCTTTTTAGACGGATTCCTAATCTCTTAGCCCTCTCCGAGACTGCTCAATAAGGAAACAGGCAGTAGAGTTATCTACCGATAATATGGAAAAACGTGAACACTGTTTTTGCTTAGATTTTGTACATCCAAATGTTCATCTGACCTGATTACTGTTATAGGTTGAGTAAAAATCATCTCAGGCGCTCAAGCCAAATTTAGCTTGACAAGTTCTAGCATCTGTACGACTATTTGCTGCAATCCCATGGAAAAGCGAAAAAATCAGCTTTTGCATTTTTCTCACCATTTTGTCGTCGCGCCTTCTCATAAATTCTTCCCTTTTTGCGCCTAGTTGTCCAGCTTTACTTTTCGAGCATTGCATTACTTTCAACCCTTCCGAACCCTATCAGCTTTGCCTCAGTGACTTCTGTAGCAATTGCTATCATTTATTGGCGTGTTTATTGAATTTTATGATGGGGTGCTAGGTCATAGGAGCCCATCTGGGACGATGCTACACTCCTCCCTTGGTTCTGTCGTCGTTTGACTGATCGCTTCTCGATGCGAAGCGCGTTTCGCACCTCGCAAGTCTCTTTCTCTCAAACTTGGCGGGTGTTTTGCCAATTAGCTTTGAACAAGTCCTGTTTTCCTTGAAAAAAAAAAGGTTGCATCTTCTAACCGCTTCCTTTAATCTCGAAAATCCCACTTTCCCTCACATCGTCTTTATAATCGCCTCTGCCTCCTTTCCATCTCTCTCCGCGGCTCCACCACCTCCGTACCCCCAACAAAAAACTCTTTTCCCACCCAGTCACCCTGCGCAAAGTTTTTTTTTGCCACCCTCGATAGTTGGACCACCAACGGAGCTGTAAAGAAGAATCTGCGACACTTGCCGATCAATGAATGCACGGTCCGCGCTAAGATTGTACCCCCGAGTCGTCTTGCGCTTCTCACTGTCTGGTCTTCGGCTCTCTTTGAAAACGGTAGTCGGCTGTTTATCAGGCAATTTTCTTTTGAGCTAAGCGCTATCGCTTTCTTTGTTTGCTTTGCCGCAAGGAGTAAACAGAATTTGGCCGGAAATTTTCCAGATTTTAATTTGAAGTAAATATTTTTGCAGATAGATGTGCCTGCAGCTTCATTACGTAAATTTCCATCCATTTCGCTCAGGTTTTCTAGATATAAGATCATTGCACCTTAGCTTGTTGTGTACATTGTATAATCATGCTAGTAAACCTAAATCCTCAGAAATAGATTTGTTACTTCTGAGAATTTAGGCTACCACCTGCTTTTTTCTATTAGAATGCCATCAAATGCCAACCGTCTGTAGGATCGTAGATGTGCTTCAAAAAAACCCTTTCTCCCTCAAAGTTGCTGTAAATAACTTTTTATTTTCAAAGAGGATGACAATAATCATCTCAGCACTGTTCTCGGTACACTTTCATAGCTTCAAAAAGATAGAAAAGTATCCTGAAAATTTCCATCGTTTAGTGTAGTATTATGACGAATTTGCGATTTGATGAATTATTTTCTGGCCTTTTTTTTGCTCTAGCAGTACAAAGTATTTACGTATGAATTCATCTCTAATGCAGTCACTTCACTTTTCGTTTAAGACTTTCGTTTTCAACTGCGTTTAGTTTAGTGATCGCCTTCACATTATTCTTCATTCTGCTGCAGCATATGTGTAAAGATCTTCTCATTGCTTGCTTAGTTTATAGAGATCGTAGAGATCTTGCATTTCTTTCGCAAAATTGCAAGTCATCTTCACAAGTCAGAAGCTGCCACAAATCTAGATAAAGCCGCACTAGAATTATGAGTAATATTTTTCAGTATCACTAAACCGGTATATTCATATAACAGTCCTGCTGCATTCTCTCCTTTATAGTTATTTTGCTTTTCATTTTTTTTTGTATGTTGAACTGTTGCGTATTTCACCATTTGGAGGCTCTCTTGGCAACCCAGTGTGATGTTTGAGTCACCTTTTCGCTTCTAGGAAAAGTTTCCGAGCAGGGATCTAATATATAACGAATCGTAAGCGCGATTCAAAAATGTGCAAATAGCGGGAAACCGCGTGGCGGTCCGGAAGCGCGCGCATGCTGCTAACACCTTTAATTACTGGTTCACTAGTTTCTAGCAAGATTGGATAAAGTGCACGAAAGAAGCGGTAGTTGTATAGTGAGAGTAACACCAGTTCTGGCTGATTCGTATCCTCTAGAAAATTCCACAAAATTTACTTCGTCGGATCTTTCTGAGCTCCACGAACATACGGTCCAGAGGTGGTCGAGGGGGTCATCAGCAGATGGTTGCCTGCTGTTCGCCTCGTCGCTCATCCATCCGTTTCTGCTCCATCGTCTCGATCTCATCCATCTTTCAGTCTACTCTCATTGCCCCTCTCAGACACGGACAGACAATCCTCATTTGTATGCTATCATGTGCATGGATTTATGAATCGCTCTGTCTTTCAAATTCAAATTTATCGCCGACGTCTGCCACTTTTGTCGCGCAGCTTTTGCACGGTTTTGTTTTTTAAGAGCTTGCACTTCGCTCCTTTGAGTGCTGAAATCCTAAGAATTTTACTGCTGAGAAGCAAACAATTTCCTGCAGATTGCTTCCACAATATCGTAGTGATGACTCAGTGCTTGTCTTTGTTCGCTTCTCCCAAGATGGCTCGTATGTAAATCAATCTTCCTGCCACCGCTCGGAAGCTCACACTTTGCTTCCCAACCACTAGCTCGATTTTTCAAGTCGTTTTCGCATATACTTGTTGCACTTTTGAGAGCTTATCTTGACGGCTGCGCAATATGAAAATGTTAAAATTTTTCCTCCATCTGATCATCTTGGTTAAAAAGTTCGGTGCATCACTAATTTGGTGTATTTTTTTATTTTCACGTCGATGATCTTAAATCAACTGAACAAAACTTGCCGGTGTTTTTTGACATCTTATCGGCTGATTTGTTTCTATATATATCTTTTTGTCAAAATCATTTGCAATCTGCGCTGAGTCTTCATCAGTTAGGACAACTTTATCTGCTACTTTTGTTCTCGTTTTGCTATGATCGATATGTTCTAAGTGCCAAAGTTATTCCCAATGGGTCCAAGATTGATTCTGAGTCGAATCGAAGTCTTCTCAAATTTCTATTCATCGTATCTTCATGTAGGAAATAGTCTGTAGCAGTCTCAGAAGGTTTTTCTATTGTGTCATGAATGTTTGTTGTTATCATCTTCGTAAACGGCAGTCTTTTGTGGATTAGATCAGCTACTCTGAACGGTTCAGTTTTGCTGCTTTTATTTTGTAAGCTCAAGACCCAGATAAGTCGTAAATTTGTCGAGAGACGTACCAAAAGAAAGAGATGAATTATTTGTCTTCTTCTTTTATGTCTCCGTTCTTCCTCGTTCATCTGCTGTATTTGCTGCAGCTTCTCCTTCATTCTGGAAGAAAGCACTAAGTCATGATTTTACTTCAATTAGCTGCATGTATGGCAAAGCTGGAGCTTTCAAAGTAAAGGGAACTCCTTACTTTCTTCTACAACAGCTTGTCGTGAGACTGGTGACTTTTTGTAAAAATGAAAATCTTTTAACATCTGTAGTCAATTTCATGTACTAAATCTTGCAGAAATGTCAAATAGACAAAAAAAAATAAGTGTCGCACACCTGTATTCAATTCTCCTATGGTTTTTTTTGTCAGCTTTTCACAACATTGAATTTCAAACCTTTCTCCATCGAAATCACCTCATACGTGAAATTTTGTCCTACACACGAAACTCTTTTTATCTCTGTCAGCCATCTTGGTGACCCATTGATATTTGCTCACCTTTCTTCTCCAAACCTCGATAATTCTGAGGAAGTCCTTTCTAGCAGGAGCATTCTTTATTTTACAGCATTGGAAACTGCAAAATTTGGAATAGTAGGGGCTAAGTTTCTTATATGATGGAAGCTGGCTTTGGCCACGATTTTCTGGATTTTGGCAGTTCCAGGAATCTCAAACAAAACTTGTATCTCTCTATCGGCTCAAATATTTTCTTGACAGAAGGAAGAGCAAACTCATTATATTCATAACTCAGTGGAACATTTTTGAGAATTTTCGCGACTTCTTCGAAAGAAGGGGGAGGGTAAACCTGTCCCATGCGTCTCCACTTCTGAATAGTATATGAGTGAATTCTCCACTATCGTCTTAATGTGTAGTTTTCTGCACTATCACCTGAAGTATCTTTTATATTATTTCAGGTTAACAATGTGCCTGATTCAGCCGTGAAATCACGGAAAGGAGGCAAGCCACATTCTTTGGACGAATACGAAGATTACGAAGTGAGTTGCACTCAGAAATTCCACGATTCCACGGACCTAATGCTCTCACACAGCTTCTCATAATTACATCATTTGCAGCTGATGGATAGGGGTCGGTTGCCGGACGAGGAAGAAGCGGACCTCTTCCGCGTGCCGGACAATGCTGCTGGACCTGGATTCGTTGCATCCGGGTCGACGGATAGATGGCTGGACGGGATGAAGGTTTGAGAATATATCTTAAAAAAACCTCTATGCATAGTGGTTGATAAGGGTGAATTACAGTATCGCGTTGGCGATTGCATACCGTATCGAGGTGAAGCATGCCGTCAATTTTTGAGCGGTAGAAGTGTCATGATGACTTCGGAAAGCCGAGAAGACATGTATGACATAGGTAGGCGCTCCAAAATTCTAAGAAAATGAATGTCAGAATTTTTATCATTTTTCCTATACAGACCGAAATCTCCGAGCTGCTATGATGTTCATCAACAGCGCACCGACGATCTCGCAACAGTGCCGACAGATCTCTACCAATGTTGCCTGTTTTCATATGTACAAAGTTTGTGATCCACGATCGGATGGCAAACGAACGCTTAGCATTTGCAAAAAGGATTGTGATCAAATAGAGGTAAATTGGATACGAGAAATAATGAGAAAATCAATTGAATGGAATTTAGAGCAATCGCGTTATCGTGATTTGAACGCATCAAAGATTACTCATTTTTCAAATGTGAAAATAGCTCGCTAATATTCAGAATTCAATTATTCCGTTCTTGGTCTTGCTTATCTTGCGAGGGAGAAATTTTAAATTACAGGATAATAATGCAGCAAAAGTTCACTAGTCTATACTATTGAAATTCATCAAAGAGCTTGTTATCTTTGAAAAATGATAAGTAGTTCTGCAAAGAATTCAAAAAATTTCTCCCCTTTAGTACTCTCCTAGATTTCAAACAGAAATATTTGGGCAGGGTAATAGTGTTGTAAGATTCTGTTAATTTTTGAAGTTTTCTGCACCTTCAAAATTCCGGTTTTTTCTGCAATCGCTTACAAGCAGATATTGACCTTGACATTGGTTTTTGAACTGAATTTCTGTCCAGTTCGAAAAGTTTACGAACTACATCCCAAAGCTGATAGAGCCATGATTATAACGAGAAGCTATGAGCACTAGTTATCATACTTAAGTATGACATGCTTTGTGCACTGATGTGCGATTAAATGAGCTCTATCAATGGAGGGTTGGGTTTACAGATCTTTTTAGTTTGTTTCGAAAGAACAGAGCTATTTTACATTAGATTTTATGCGATCAATAGGCATTAGACTTTTTCCATGTTCAAAAAAAAGTTTTCCGTTTGTGATAAGCATTGTATCTGTTTTAGTACTAAAACACCATCTTGTCCTTCTTGTGAGCCTGGAAAATTCACCCAAAAATCTTTGTTTACAGAGTTCTTTTTTGAGGTTTTTTCTTCCAAATTTCCGCTACTTATTCTCAGTTAAGTACACCATAAATGTTCTATGATCCACATCTGGTTCAAAATTTGTGCATTTTTTGACAATCCTTCCATACTCAGCCTCTGAAATCTCCATTCTGCGTATCATAGTATAATGGCTTTTATATCCCATTTATAGAGCCGGCTCTGCCCATCCGAACTTGCCTTGGCCGCTCAGCACGAACTTGTCGGTGACGGTCCGAAAGCTCTCTTCCCAAAGTGTTCTGCGCTGTCGATCTCTTCCGAAAACTGCATTGCTGTTTTGGATTCTCCTGCCATGGTTTGTTAATTTTTAGCAAATATTTCTAGAACTTTTCCGAATGAAGAATTCCGATTCAAGATGAATGCCGTGCCAGAAACGGAGATCCCTCGTAACCATCTTACCCATTTCTGCTATGTAGACAGCGGGAAACACTACGAAGGTACCGCTTCTACAACTATGAGCGGAAAAACTTGCATGAGCTGGAATGAGGCCCCATCAAGGTATATTTGCCTGCTTTGATTTGGAAATATGAGCTTTGATGATAATATTTTAGGGAGTACAATGTGAACCGGTACCCTGAGCTTCGGTATGGTCGAAATTACTGTCGAAATCCCGGTGGTAAAAAGACAAAACCATGGTGTTATTCTCAGCCGATGGGGCAAGAAGAGTATTGCGATGTAAGATTTTAATTTTGCTAGCAAAATCCCACTTTTAGTCCAAAGGCACTGGCTGAACTGACCTAGTAAAATTACAAAAATACTGCCGTGTAAAAATAACGAACTACCAATGGCTTGAATGGTCATTAACTTTTGCAGTTTTCTCAAGTTTCGAATCTTACTGAATCTTGAATTATTCTGCATTACTGAAATCTGATTTGACTTGGTTAATAGTGTGTGATTTGGAATTCTTTCTTCACCACTTAACGGTATTTTTCAGATCCCGCAATGTTCGAAGGACATGTTTCCACATTTGAGGGAAGGCAGTGGCAGTGGAAACAATAATGTAAGTAACTTCGATAACTTTGATTTTCTTCCCAAAAATTGCGAATTTATAGGTTGGACTGGGAGAGTCAATGACTTCGATGTGGGAGAATCTAGCTCCCCACTGGCAGCTGGCTGTTGTTGGAGGCGGTGTCCTAACGATACTCCTGCTCCTACTTCTCTTCTGTTGCATTTGTTGCTGTCGAACAAGGAAGAAAGCTTCGAAAGATCGAGCTGGAGCTTCGGCGGCTCATTCACTTCTGCCTACCACAAATCCACCTTCTGTTGTTAATAGGTAGCTACATCAAATTATGAAAAATCAATGAAAATATATTGGACAGTTTTTAGCGCCACAAATTCTGCCTACTACCAAAGGAAGCTCAATGGAACCTCTACACCCATAGTGAACAGGTCTGGAATTGGGACTAGCCCAATGGAAATGGCTTCATTACTGCCCACCCATGCTGTGCCTCCACCCTATAGCGACGGGTTTGTTCTACCAGCTGAGGAACCTTACCATATCCTTGAGATCCCTGCCAATCAGGTAAACGTCTTGATGTTCTTCTAAGACTTGTAGAAATGAGTAGTTTATTTTTCTCAGATTAAACTCGGTGATCTTCTTGGCGAAGGACAGTTTGGTGTTGTATACAAAGGCTTCTGGACTGGAGGACTAATCAGTGGGGATCCTTTGCAGGTACCTAATAGATGGCTTTCTGCAATTTTCTGAGATAAACAGACTACTCTTCTTCAGGTCGCTATAAAGTCTGTTAGACCTGATGCCACAAATGCTGATCGTGCTAGTCTTGAGGAAGAAGTTCGAACTGTAGCATCCTTTGATCACCCACATGTAGTCAGACTACTCGGTGAGTTTTTATAGGGCGAAAGGTCTTGGTGCTTGAGTGGTCGGAAATTTCTTCCACAAAAAAGTATTAGAGATTATCTCAAAACTTGATTCTATAAAAAAGCTAGAATTTTCCGAAAAAAATAAGAAAAATGTCATTTTGTGACCTTTTATGTCCTCCAATTTATGAATGCGTGCTTTTCATATGTAAGTCCTTTCTTTCCCTCATATCGAGATTTCAGGTGTCTCTTATCTCAACGGTCGATTATCAGCAGTTTTCGAATACATGGTCAATGGAGACTTGCATGAGTTTCTACGAATTCGTGCCCCATCACATCCTGATCATAATCCCGCTGACGATACCGCAGATTTTATGAGTATTGCAACGCAGGTGAATTCTAGTTTTTAATTTGCATTTATAGGCTTTTTAGAAAAATTTGGCGTTTATATTTTCGAGAATATGTGTTTATTTGTATGTCAATGTTTATTTGATTGAATTCAAGGCTATACCTTTCACTTCAAAAAGTAGGTAGGAGTGGGTCCGAAGTGTGACAGCGATTTTATAATTTCTGAAGATATTTTACTCTTTAAATAAATGCACACCATATGCCATTTAATGGCTCTTTATTGATGCTCAGCAGCTATAGTTTTTCTATATGATTACTTCATTTTTTGCAGATAGCTTATGGAATGGAATACCTTGCTTCAATGTCCTTTGTCCACCGAGATCTCGCTTCGAGAAATTGTCTTGTTGGAGATCAGCGGATAATCAAGATTGCCGATTTTGGTCTCATGAGGTCCTGCTACGATGGAGACTATTATAAGGTCAGCTCTAACGCTCGTCCTATCTAACCTCTCAATTTGTTTCCACTTACATAGTAAAAAAACATTAAGACAAATGTATTCAGATGGTGCATCGTTCGTGGATGCCCGTACGGTGGATGGCAAAGGAAGCGCTAGAGCAAGGTCGATTCAGTGAAGCATCAGACGTTTGGTCATTTGGCGTGACACTGTGGGAGATCTGGAGTTATGGTCGACAACCCTACGGTTCAGCATCGAATCAGACGGTGATCGAGTTGATCGCGAACAGACATCTGCTTGAGTGTCCACCGAATTGTCCCACCAACATCTATGGGTAAGCCCTAATTTCTCCCATAATTAAAAAAAAAAGAAAGATTTTTGCTTCTGTTTTTAGGTTGATGATCGAGTGTTGGAATGCAAATCCGGAACGGCGACCGTCATTCTCGGAGATACACAGCCGACTACAATCGTGGTCCGTTGTCAGTCCAGCTCAGTCGATTCTTCACAATCAGCGGACAAGCGCTAGCTCACAGAGTGGTAAAAATTCATTAAAATATGAAAGTCTTGTGTTTCGTGGTAGTACTTATTGTGTTGTGCGCAAATTTCGGAACAGAGCACACCTCTGTTGAAAGTAGCGTCATGTTACACCGTAAATTTGCTAAATATAATTTTTCTAATATAGTGAATCTAGTAGGCTTTGTATTGCAAACTTCTAAACACTGTGAAAAATTTGCTCTCAGTGAAATTTTTTGGACTAGCAAGGCGATTCTATTTTATTTTTGGTACACAGTGAATCGACAAATTAGCACAAAAACTTGATGGAGGGGTACAGCAATTTTCACAGCTTTTTTCAGATTAATTTGCAATTTGTTTTTTTTTTGGCTTTGCATCATCAGAAGCGGCTGATTTTTTGACTGATACTGCTGTGTTGTGCGAAACAGAGCAGATCTCTGTTGAAAGTAGCGATCATGGTAATCACATCCTGATTTTGCACAATCAAGAAAAAAATCATAATTTTTTCCAACTATGGTGGCTTCGAAAGACTTTGATCTATTGCAGAAGTTCTAAACAAGGAGGCTTCTTCACAATACAAGCAAGGCACTTATTTTTAGCAGTAAATCGCCATATTAGGACAAAAATTTGACTTAGTGAGGACGGCGACATTTTCACAACTTTTTCTATTGCCCTGTAATTTGCGTCCTCAGAAGCGGCTAATTTTTTGACTATACTTATCTAACAAGAAAGTCAAAGCATGTAGTATTTGCTTACTGAAAAAGTAACTGATCTGCAGGGGAGTGCCTTATGCCACCGGTGATTATCGCCGTCATCAAGGACTAACTGGTATTTATGAAACAGCAGCGAGAACCATCATTTTTGAAAAAGTGGGATGAGGTTTTCTGGTTCCAAAAAACTTAGTTTTGAGCACCAACCTGCAATGTCCGCATTTTTGTATTCAGTATGCTCGGAGATAGAATTCAAAATCTCAGCCCTCATTTCTAAGTTTTTTCAGGTTCCTCAGGCGCCGGTTGCAGAGGTCAGCCGAATCGGGTCTCATCACTGACTCGCACCGCTCCCTATCAGCAACAGGCAGTACGTCAACGAAGAGCGGACGATGCGAGTCCTCTGATGAGGAGGGATGCGAACTACGCGTACTCCGATGACGCTGATTCCGATTAGTTCACAGAAATGTTTGTTCTCGTTGTTATGTAGGAAAAGAGGCAGTAGCTCATTGCCACTTACAAAAATAAAGTTTCACCCTTCTCAAAGTTGTTACTTAAATAAAATTGTCAGCCATTGCCCCTTTCTTCCTCTTCCCTTTTCCTACCCATAGCGGGCATCTCAACTATAGAATTCGATACTACAGGGTTTCCCATTGCATTGACCTCTCCTAGCACTTGTACATTGTTTGTTCTGTCAACTTCACTGTATTCCTTCTCGTTAAGTCCTTGAAAGAGCTTCTCCTTATATTTTCCATTGTCATAGACGGTTGTAACCTAATAATACGCACAGTTCTCTCGTACTCTTTGAAGAAGGGGTTCCGATCATAATATGTCTTATAATATAATTATTGTCTAACTTAAGATTGACGTTAATGTTCTACATCGTGTTTCTTTCATTAATGAGCTCATTTTTCATTCTGATACTGCTATATCCACGATGCAGGGTTGAGTTGATGAGCTATGTTCATACTATGTTTGCAATTTCTGTATTTTACTGTGATCTGTCGCTTTTTGAGTGAAAATCTATATTGTAATCAATTAAATCTTCATTATCAATTTTGCTTTTAACGGCATCAATAGAGGTATAGATTTTTTTCTGCAGTAACCGCGCAGAAAATTCTCGGGCCAGAGTAGAGGTAGAAATGATTTAATGAAGGGCTGCTGTGGCGATGGCTTTATCTATAATTTTAATGCTCCTCGAAGTTTATGCATGCTTATAATTGTTATCCCGTAGAAGGAAGATTAATCAACCCAATATGATTTTCATGAGTTTTAGGAAAAGCAAGTCACCACAACTTCGTAATTTATGGGCTTTTACATCTGAAAATTTGAATTTCTTCATTTTATGTTCCCTTTCTGGTAAGCGCTGGTTTGAAATTTTTTGATTTGACAATCTGCTCAAAGCGGCGTAGTCAGTCCCGAGATTTTAGGTTATAACATCTATGTGAGCAGAGCTCTTGATGTGATGGCTAGCTAACCTTGAAGTTAAAGGTTGATCCAGCATTTCTTAGCATTCCAAGTGTGTTGATGAGCGTAAGTCGCTAATTGTTCTTGCCATCTAGGTTCTCTTTGGAACAATGTAGGGAAGGTCTTGTCTCAAATAGCATTCACAGTACGTGAATTAAGATCCACAAACGCAGGCTGCAATGTTCGCCAGACGGATTTTTATCGTCCCTTGCTATCGAAAGTCTTTCTAACAAGGGAACGATACTCAGTGTCCGTGGCCTTTTGAGATGAAGTGTACACCAGTACACTCGCCTTCGAATGCTGATTCCAAATCTTGTTTCCGTTTCTGCCGAAAGTTTCTCTGAAAGAAGTTATGAAGGATTTTCGCGCCAAATTTGGCCGCGCGAGGCACATACGATAGGAACACCAACATGGCGACATGTTAACATGCATTCATTTTCCGTTCATTTTCATTTTTATAGGCGCCTCTTGGAATAAATATAGGAAACACTCGTATAAAAATGAATCCTCGTTAAATTTTTAACGAGTAAGTACATGCTTTTACCTCGGAGATCTAATTCGCAAAAAGAAGCTTGATAGCTTTCAAAAAGAAGCTTAAAGGCAGTGTCGCGGTAGATTCGCGCCCTCGGTGATATCGCTGCGGTGGGCCATCTCGCCTAACCTCTAAGCCTAATCCGGCTAGTTGATGTTCCCCCCGGGCCGAGAAAATAGCCCCCGAACCAGCGCGCGCTCGACGACTTCGCTCACCTGTTCGGCGCGGGACCCCATTACCGCTCTCCGCATTATGCATGCTATATCAAAGCAAAAATTACAGACGGCAGGGTCTTCGCGCCGGGACCTCCCAAACATTTCCGTTGAAACCCTCGTTCGAGCCGCTTTTTGGAAACTGGAGAAACTCCCCAAAAACGGCCTTTTCACGCGGTTCTAAGCTCAGATTCGGGTTCTACGAGTCGAAGAGGCCTATAACATGCAATAAAGTGAAAACGCAGAATCTGCCGGGACACTGCCTTTAACTGAGAGAATGCAAAACTGAAAAATTTAAAAAAATCTGAGCCTACACCTGCATGAGCTTGTGAGGCTAACGCACTAGCCACTACACACAACTACCGGCGGTGTTCCTATCATATCTCGGGAGGCCAAATTTGGCGCGAAAATCCTTCGTAACTTCTTTCAGAGAAAAGTTCAGCAGAAGCGGAAACCAGATGTGGAATCAGCGTTCGAAGGCGAGTGTAATGGTAATGGTATACATTTCATCTCAAAAGGCCACGGACTAAGTATCGTTTCCTTGTAAGCCACTTACTCAGACAATCGCCGGGGGCAGGCGGGCACCAGAAAAATAGATTGCTGATCTCTCGCACCCCGCTCGCGGATTTTTTGGAAAGCAATCAGGACTTTTCGGAAGACCGCTTGCTGAGTTCTCGATTCCTCAGAGATTCAGCAATATATGTGCAAAAGATAAGAGCGAAAAAAAATTCAAGAGGCGGTCTCTCAAAAATCCGTTGACTCAGCAAGCGGTCATCCGAAAAGTCCTGATTGCTTCCCAAAAAATCCGCAAGCGGGGTGCGAGAAATCAGCAATCTATTTTTCCAGTGCCCGCCTGCCCCCAGCGATTGTCTGAGTAAGTGCAGTTACTATCATAGAAAGCAGGTCCACTTTTGTGAGGATTTTTGGTTATTGTTGTTGAGGTCTGTGAGGTACATCCTCATTCTGCCATACACAATGCAATCTCTAAGCGAAGCCTCCTTTCCAGACAAAGTGTCTTTTTCAGATGACAACTGTACATAGAAAATTTTACAGTGATTCCAAATCTGTATTTCACTACTATGTACTTGGTACGAATTTGATCACTCACTATCAGCTATTTTTTTACAACTTTTCGAGAGGTGTGCGCTTATGGTGTGACAAATTTGGGTTTTTGTTTTTTCAAATGTTGAACGCTCATAACCAGGGTCAAGCGTGGATGTGGCGCGCCACACCTGGGGGAGGGGGTCGTATCGAGGAGACAAAAGAAGGGGGTGGTAATCGGTGATACTGATTAGTGGTAACAAGATACTAGTAAGCAGTTTGTCAGATAACCCCTATGCGAAATACAAGCACAGAGATAGTGACTTGTGATCTATTAGGTTGGCACATGATTTTCATTTAGCTTTTGTCTTTTTGAACGTAGCGCATTCATTTTCTGGCAATGTAAGAATTATGATGTAAACTGCAAATGGGACATTTTTGCCGATTTTGCCATCTTATGTAAGGTTACAGTAAGTTTACGGTATAATGGGAAAAAATTTAGATTGCTCAGATTTTGCTGAAACTTGGCCTGTATGGGTTACACGACATGCTCATCACAAAAATGAGACCCGTTTCGCATGGAAAGTCCTCTTTCGTAAGGTCAAGAAATGAAATTTAGCGACAAATAAACATGATCTTTGTGTCGTATTGAATAATCATATAGTGCAAAATTTTAGCGAATTCTGAGATTTCGCAGCTTAATTATTGATAGATTGCCCTCCAAACTTGGCGCATTTGGCTTGTTCTACTTCTCGACGGCGCCTTATCTTAATTTGTCTTTAAATTGCATTCCTTTTTTATCGATACTAATGCGTCAACTTCTAGCTACATACTGCCTATGACTCCTTTATGGTTTGTTTAATTCATGTTTGTACGGCTTCATGTTTGCCAAAAAACCGTGAAACCTCGATTTTCAAGGGTTTTCGAAAAATGCTCAAATTTCTCCTTCTACATTATCATAAATCAAGCGGTATGCGCAGACTTGCAGCTTACATCACACTCTATATGATGCCAGAGAATGAGAATGCTACATTGAGTAAGAAAAAAGTTATCGGAGAAGTTGCAAAACTTATATGCCAACCTAAATACACCTTCATCTACCTGCCGCAGCATAAGGAGGCACTCACAAACATACCAGTAATACATACATAATCAGCATGTCAGTCAACCCTTGTAGGCGAGTTTGAGCGAATCCTAAAGTCTCAAAATACTAAGCCACTTACTCGAATTGTCATTTTCGAACATGATTAACTTTGTTTCAAAGGTGAATTAGCTACCAAATTTGCACTCAAGAAAAAGCACTACTCCTCCGCTGTTAGCATCAGAAATCCCGCTTCAAAAGGACTTCCAAACTGTGGAATTAAAGTCCAACTAAAACCTTGTTTTCCCTATTTTTTTCGCCTTCAATGGCTGTAATTTCAGGCACAACCCCGCAAAAAAAGTGTGGCAGCCGCACGGCTATCACGGAAAGAGAGTGTACTTTCGTGGTCAGAGTGGCTAGTAATCTATGAAGCAAATTCCAACCAAAATCGTGACTTGACGTTTTAGAGTAAACCCACCGTAACACTAAAGAGGATTTGAACCGAACAATGGTACTCGTGATCAAGCAGGTCGAACAATCTTCTTAAACCAAGTTTGAGCAATTCACGGCTTCAAACTTGGGACCAGGGTAATGGAGTTACGTCCGGAATGAAAATGCATTCAAGCGTTGGGTTGCTTAAGAGCGCGTTTTGCGACCGGAGCAGAATTGCTCCACCAGTGAAATACTTCAAAGGCTGTAAAAAAGTGTAAAGGAGGGGATGTACCACTTTGTGCCACTATGAAAACTTCCGATATGTGGACAAAATTTATGAAAGAAGAAAAAAGTTATGAGCGAAGGATTGAAGCACACAATGGTAGCTTTCTGGAACGGTTCCAGCTAATTCAGGAAAAATCACGGTTGTCACCCACGCATGGGTTTTCATAAGATGCAGACATAGTTCGAGGTTCCTCACGCGATATGTGCGAGAGATTTATTGCTATGTCAATGCGTGCTTGTTGTAAGCAACGCATTTGTTTATTGAGGGCATGAATTTTGATTCACGCCTGTGCGAGATCGTGTTGGGCATGCAAGTAATAGTACTATCTTAAGTTAATCGAATGGATGAGGATGTTTCGATAGAGAATTATTAACCTAGGTTTTATTCGCGTTTTTCTCCGTGAATCTGGAACACAACTCCGCCAGATCCCCGTTGCTTTCTGCCCTCATAACGATATCCAGCTTGACTCGGTTCCGACTGTACCAGGTAGTTAGAAGAATTGGCTTTTGATTGAAAAAGCGGAGTAAAAAAGCTTCTATGTGCTACATGAAATAATGTAGAGTTGTCAACTGTTAACTAGGAAGTGATCTTTTGGTGTAGGATACTAACTAAGATCTTTTCGAAGACCTCCAAGTCTAAAAACTTTACAATATCAACCCTTGGTACATGACATAAAAAGTACCTCTTTTGCTGTCTATCGTCTACTGCGGAATCTTAAAGGCAGCGTCCAGGCAGATCTGGACCTATGGAGCTTTTACGTGGAAAGTACTTTTGGGGCCCTAACTAAGACATTGCCCAAGCGGCAGCTCAGGTAGTGCTGTAATGGCTGAGATATTCCGCTCGAAACTGGACCCCGCGACCGTGTTCCGCATGGATTCATGGCGCAAAGCGTGGATCCTGGCGCGAAACTGCCATGAATCCATGCGAATACGTTCGCGGGGGCCAGTTTCGAGGGGAATATCTCAGCCATTAGAGCACTACCTGAGCTGCCGCTTGGGCAATG